AGTTCCCAGTCCGAAGAGAAGAGACAGACAGGCCCACTGCCGACACAACTCCAACTCCACAGAACCAATATTCTAGTGCTTAATAATATTATGCCTATTATAATGTTCATAGCACCATTATTCCCCATCGCAAGAATATGGAAACAGCCCAAATGTCCAACCACGAATGAATGGATTGAGACATTATGGTACATTCACACAATGGAATACTATGCAGCACACAGTAATTATCACTTAACCTGGGAGGGACTGGAAAGCATTATGCTGAGTTAACGAACTCAGACCCATAAGGATAAATATTGTATAAGAACGTTATTGTAGGATGAGTGTAAGGATCCAGGAGGGGTGGGAGAGGCTGGAAGCAGAAGGATATGGATGTGCAGGGGGAAGGGGGGATTAATCATTGGGTTGTACAATTTGATGGGGGGGGTGAGGGAAATTGAAAGAATTTGTTCAAATTTGTATTAGAATTTTGTAAATAAACTAGTGGAAAAAATTTGTTTTAAAAAAAGACATTCATGTTGCTGGTCTCCAACCCAGACTAACAGAGGAGAGACAGAGTGTGATACATAATGGAATGCCCTCTATTGACCACAGACTGCATGTTGGGCCTATGGTACATTTTAATGGTAAGGACACAGGCCCAGGGAAAGCAAGTGGCATACGTTAGAATATAAAGCATCAAAGTCAAGGGGTTAGGATTTGCACCCAGGCTGATAGCTTTGAAGCTGGGCTTGTAAACCCGTACCTGAGGGCTACACCAAGCTGATGACTCTGAATTATTGGGTTCCTGTTCTGAATCGTTTCTAACTGACTTAATAAGACCAACAAGCTACTACTCTTCAACGTGCCTCACTTTCCCTATCCATAAAAGTATGGCTTGATTGTCTCACTCATTTGCCTTCATGGATGCTATTTTCACTCTTACCACCAGAGGGTGCTGCTACTGCTTCAGTGACTGCTAAATCAAGCCTCCACTCAAGAGGAGAAAAACTTAACTGGAAACTCAATTTTACTGATAATGAGACTACTACCTACAGACAACTCAACTCTTTGAAACTTCTGCTGTTGAGTCAGAACCGAGTAATAGTTGCCCCTCCTGAGAGTTTTCAGGGACTGTAAATTGGAAGGAGATTGTCTTTCTTCAGTGGAGCAGGTAGTGGATTTGAACACCCTGCCTTTGGGTTGACAGCACAGCTCCTTACCCAGTAGGCCACCAGAACTCCCTTCCACCTAAAGGACCATGGATTTAGAAGGTGGACTCCAGAGTGAGAAGGTAGGTGCTTTCTTTGGTCAACTCACAGTGTTTGACAATTCTGTTAATGATGGTTAAATTTGGCCCACAGCAAGGCTGTCAGACATAGAGGCACCAGGTAGAACCCATCTCAGGAGTTCCCAGTCCAAAGAGAAGAGACAGACAGGCCCGCTGCCGACACAACTCCAACTCCACAGAACCCATATTCTAGTGCTTAAGTCCTTGTGGCAGTCCTGAGGGTGCATCATTCCTCCCTTTTCTAGTTGGGGAAATTGAGGATTGGAGAAGAGCTCAAGATGTCTGAGATAAAATTGGTACCCTCGTTGTTCATGTGAAGTCAAAGCCCAGAAATGACCAGGGGTCTCCAGGGTGGTCAGAAGGTACAGTTGCTCACAGGATGTATGTTGCTTCCCCTTGTCACCAGATGTAGGAAGCCCAGTTTGGATGACCATGGAGTTGGGCAACAGCACTGCCCAGAACCTGGGCTCCCTGCCCACAGCCTGCACCTACCGTGAGAACTTCAAGCAGCTCCTGCTGCCGCCTGTGTACTCCGTGGTCCTGGCAGCCGGCTTGCCTCTCAACGCCTGTGTTATCACCCAAATCTGCATGTCACATCGGGCCTTGACCCGCACAGCCGTGTACACTCTGAACCTGGCCCTGGCCGACCTGTTCTATGCCTGCTCCCTGCCCCTGCTCATCTATAACTATGCCCAAGGTGATCACTGGCCCTTCGGGGACTTCGCTTGCCGGCTGGTTCGATTCCTCTTCTACACCAACCTGCACGGCAGCATCCTCTTCCTCACCTGCATCAGCTTCCAGCGCTACCTGGGAATCTGTCACCCTCTGGCCACCTGGTACAAGCACGGGGGGCGGCGGGCTGCCTGGTTGGTGTGCGGAGTTGTGTGGCTGGTCGTGATCACACAGTGCGTGCCCACAGCTGTCTTTGCCACCACAGGCATCCAGCGTAACCGTACTGTCTGCTACGACCTGAGCCCTCCCAAACTGGCCGCCCGGTATATGCCCTATGGCATGGCCCTCACAGTTGTCGGCTTCCTGCTGCCTTTTACTGCCCTGCTGATCTGCTACTGCTGCCTGGCCCACCGCCTGTGCACCCAGAATGTCCTAACAGGGCCGGTGGCCCAGGAACGGAGGAGCAAGGCAGCCCGCATGGCTGTGGTAGTGACAGCTATTTTTGCCATCAGTTTCTTGCCTTTTCACATCACCAAAACAGCCTACCTGGCAGTGCGCTCGACACCTGGAATCTCCTGTCCTGTGTTAGAGACCTTTGCAGCTGCCTACAAGGGCACAAGGCCTTTTGCCAGTGTCAACAGTGTTCTAGACCCCATCCTCTTCTACTTCACCCAGAAGAAGTTCCACCGGCAGCCACGGGGTCTGTTGCAAAACCTCAAAGCCAAGTGGTGGCGTCAAGGTCGCTGAGATCTTGAAGCCAGGACCCCCTGGAAAACCAGTGTCCACCACTGTGGATGAGGGAGTAGAAGCTTCACAACCTCAAGCCGTTTAAAGACAGTTAGAGTTCAGTTTAACTGGGCATGAAGTGAGATCACCCACAGAGTCCTAAAATCACACCAGTCATGGCCACTTCTCTGAGATATAATCTAGGCCTGGACCCGGTGCTTGAGAAGGTCCCAGTCAGCTATGGGAAGTTGGAGAAACCATGCTACACTGCTCACTAAAATATAATGTGGACATACTACAATTAAAGGGCATATATAATCATCAAGGAAAGGAAAGAAGAGAGAGCGGAGGAAGAGATTAAAGCTTCTAGGAAGGGGCATTTGAACTGGGTTTTGAAGGATGAATAGGAGACCTCAGGGAAAATGATATTCCATTCATCTAACAAACCTTATGCTTGAGCCTGGGTTGCTTCTGGGGCTTGAGAACAAGCTCCAATCATTCCTATTTAGGCTCCCAACTCCTGAAGGTACAGATACTTACACAATGATGTCAGAGTAGGGAATGGAAGGAAGCCCAGAGGATAGCCCTGGGGCCCAGCCCAAGGAGTCAGGGAAGACCTCATTAAAAAGGAGTCTTTTGAACCAGAGGTCAGAGGCCAAGCAGGAACTCAGCAAACAGCACTAGAAAAGGCTTTTGTGTCATCTGGGCCAGTCTTGTACTAGGCTGGGTCTTGGAGGACACGACTAAAGGGCTAGGTGGTCCTTATACATGAGAAATGTTGAAAGGTTGCAGAGGGAGGCTTGGGGAGCATTGCTGAGGGAGGAATCAAGGTTTCTTGGAAAAGGTGGAGCTCGAGCTGGGAAAACATTTGACAGGCAGGTAGGGAGGCTGCTCTTGGTGGAAAGCACTAAGTGCAAAACTTAGGTACAAAGAGCATCCCTCTAAAACAGTGAATTTTAAATAAACAGGGAGAGTTGGGTATGTGGCGGGAGATGGCCTACACAGGAGGTTGAGCAGCAAATGCCAAGAAGAGCCCTAGACCCCACTTTTCCTTTGCCCACCCCTTCTGAGTGACCCTTTCATCCTCCAAGTGAGCCTGGTGCCTGGAATATAACCCACCAGGCCTGAGTGACTCCACACTGTTCATTCCTAAAAGAGAAGCCAGCAGCTTAAACTGGCCCACAGCCACCCCTGCCCCAGGTCACCAAAGACTGCCACATGGAGATCTTATGGCTGCAGTCTACTTACTGGGCTCACTTCTGCCTTCTCAGGACCATCATCTCCCTTTGTGGACACCCAGTTAGTTTCCCTGAGACCAACATGAGTGTGAAAACCCAGCATTGGACATTACTGAAGGCCATATCCTGGACAGTAAAGGGGAATCACACCCGTCCATCACCCTCCCTATCCTCTCCACTTGCTCACTGCTGGAGCACTACCACTTTTTTTTTTTTTTTGCGATTCACAGTAATTTTATTTATTTTTTTAATTAATTTCCTGACATGAGACTAGCATCCACATTGAATTTTTTTTTATTGAAATTCCAGTGAAAGTTTACAGAGACATTGGACTTCCATGCATACCTTGTTGCACACTTTCCTCCCTGCCTACCTCCTCCCAGTTTGCTTTCCTTTTTGAAAAAATAAAATAAAAAATTCTTTCTTTGTTATACAATCCCCCTGACAACAAGTCCACTTTACTATGCATCTCTTATTCTGGATTCTTGTCATGAAAATAATACCTAATCACATATCCCTTAGCACTCCCACATTTAAGTGCTCCCTGATAGCACTTCTTTTTCCCTGCTCTTTTTTCTCCATCTTCCATCTCTTTTCTCACTTCTCCAGTTCTTATTCCCTCCTCCTGGATTCCAGTTTATCTCATGTAGAACAATCTAGTCTGCCCCTGGCTTGTGCACCACACAGACACCAAAACCAACAGAAACAGCCAGGGGAAGAGTAAGCCTTCCTTCTTGGAAAGGAAAGCAAAGTGGGGGTGGGAGGAGGGCAGGGGCAGAGGGCCAGCGCCTAATCACCAAGGTTGTTGGGCAATAGAGGCACTCAGAGAAGAATTCAAGAAGGGTTCAACTGCATAGTAATGTCAGAGGTGCACGCGTATCTAGCTGGCTGAGAAAGAGGGGAAACCAAAGCCACCTCTTGAAAACTGTTTGAAAGTGTCCCAACAAGAGAGGCTGGCAATTTGGACAGGAGCTACTTTGATTCTCTTCACCACTGTGAGGGAAGTGCAGGGACATCAGAAGACTTCTTATTCCCTAAATAATAATCAATTCCCTATATATAATAATAAATTCCCTAAATAATCAGAAGAATTCTTATTCCCTAAATAAGGCACTGTCATGCCAACCACGACAGATATTACCCCTGTCTTAGTTACTTTGTTCACTCACTTACTTACTCATTGCTGTTATGCTGAAACGGACTTATAGCCGACCCTGCAACAGGTTTCCAGATACTGTGAATCACACAAGAGGAGAATGCCCATCTTTCTCCCTCGAAGGCGCTACGGATTCTAACTGCCAGAGAGGCACCACTTTTGGGTTAGCTGTTCAACTCCCTACAGGCCGTGCTACCAGAGCTCCTTTCTCAGTTATCTAGTCCTAGAATAACACAAATACAATATGGATTGTCTTAAAAGACAATTTATTTTCTTGCTCTTTTTAAAATTTATTCTCTAACAAGTTAGTAGGCTAGAAGTTCCATTTCAGAGTGTTGGCTCTTGACGAAGTCTTTCTCTCTCTGCTTTGAAGGAAGGTCCTTGTCTCTCCAGCTTCAGCTTCCTGGCTCCTTGGATGTGTTTTGGCATGTTTTGCCCCATCTCTGCCCACTGCTTGTTTGTTTAATCTTTTTCCTATTTCAGAGAAGATTAAAGATAATGAAAGGTATAGCTGAATGCTATAGATTAACATAACATGCACTGTTGTTGTTGTGTGATGTCAAGTCAGAATCGACTCACAGCTGACCCACAAGCAGGTTTTCAGAGGCAGTAAATCACAGGGGTGGAGGGTGGCCATCCTTCTCCCATGAAGCAGCTGATGGATTTGAACCTCATGCATTTGGGATTGCAGCTTCTTACCACTAGGCTATATTAACCACTAGTTCTCTGCCTTATTAACCACTAATTCTGCCTTATTAACATCTTGTTGTTATTCACCATCAAGTTGGAACCAAACCATAGCTGACACTCCAGCTGATTTTCAAAGGCAGTAAACCACAAGGGAAAAGACTGCCCATCTTTCCATCTCAGAGGAGTCAGTTGAATTAGAACTGCTTACCTTTGGAAACTCCATGAACTTTGATAAATGTCAATAGTTGTAGAGAGGTTTCAAGCTTTTTGTTCATAGGGTCACTAAGAGTCATGCACGACCCAAAGGCAGTCAACAACAACAACAATAGCCATCTTTGGATTGACCAATAAACTACCAGGATTTATAACACTTAGGATAATTGCATCAAATCCCAAATTTGAGAATAATCACATAATACTAAGAATCATAAAATTAAGAATCATGGCCCTATCAAGTGGATATATGCTTAAGTACAATGGGGGTACAATTCTATTCTTTGGGCCACTTTTCCAGGGATAAATATTGAAACCCAAATGCAAATTCCATTCCCAGATTCCCTTTGAGAAGCAGACCAACGTGGAGTGTATCAATGCCGAATCCTGTCCACCTGGTGTACCCTGACTGTTTATTGGCTGTATTTCTCTGGGCAAGTTACTTAACCTTTGTGCTTCAGTTTTTCCAACTGTAAAATGAGTACAAAAATTATGCTTACGTTACAAATATATTTGAGGATTACATTGAGTACCATGTACAATTGGGAATATTGTTAGGAGAACCTGTTCCTTGGAGAGAGACTTTGTTCTTGGAAAGGTCCTGGAGGGTCAGCAAAAGAGAGGAAGATCTTCAACCAAATAGATTGACACAGTGGCTGCTGCAATAGGCTCAAGTGTGTCAGAGATGATGAGGATGGAACAGGCTAGCACAGGGTTCAGATCTGTGGTTCATAGGGTTGCTATGAGTTGTACTTGATTCAGTCGCATCTAAACACAACAATAATGTGTGCAAATCACTAAGAACAATTCCTGGATCATAACAAGCAGACAACAAATGTTTGTTTTATTATTTATTTATTTTTTGCCTTAATGGAATACAAGTTTTTCCATGCTCTATCTCTAGGGATAGGCAAAGGAGGCTTCTAGGAGAACATACAGGGAACTTTATGCAAGACAGGGTGCAATTTTTTTTCTTTATCCTTCAGCACAGAAAGGCAGGCAAACTTTTAAGGAAAAAAAGCTCTGCACACTATCTAGAAAACAAGAGCCATAACCCATGAGTCCCATCTGTCCCTATAAGAAGGAAAACCCCCTTACAGCCGGTGCGAGGAACTCCAAGTACCCTTTCAAGGGCTTGAATGCTTCCTTCTTCTCCCTTCCTCTATTTCTTCCTTCTACTATCCCATCTGCCTTTTTCTCTCTCTCTCATTTCAATCCTAATCATATTCAGTGATTGAAGAGGGGCTTGCCCTTAGATGTTCTGCTTGTTGGGATGGGAGATAGAATGGGGCACAGACAAGGATGCACAGGTAGAATATGGTGAGAGATGGGGTATTATGAAGGTCCAGAGGATCTAAGGTGGGGGAAGACTTCCAGCTGGACAGAGCATTGCTGCAGAGTCTGGAAGGATAAATGACATGGATTGAAGGACAAAGGAAAGGTATTTCTGGTTCAGGGAACAGAATGAGCGAAAACGTAGAGGCTGTTAAAGAAGAGATTTGATGTACTGAGAGTCATAACAATGATCACCCACTCACTCATTGCTGTTGGATCAGAACCAACTCAGCTGACCCTCCAGAAAGTTTTCAGAGGCTGTAAATTTCACAGCTTTTCACATCTTTCCCCCGAAGAGTGGATTCACATTACCAGAAAGGTAGATAGAAAGCACAACTCCCTGTGAACCACACTACCATGTTGTTACGTATGATTGAGTCAGAATCATC